CCACACTGATGGGGCACTGCCTGGTTGGCCAAGGGTAGTTGTGTCAGCAGCAATAAGGGCATGTCCCACCCACCAGGAGGGGTATAAAATCAGGCTGTTTTAGGCAAAGCAGCATTCCCTGATCCCGAGGGCATCCAGACACAAGTATTCCTATTACTGCCTGAACACCAAGATCCTCATCAGGTAAGTGACTGTGGGGACTCTTTATGGGCAGCTGCCCATTACAACTCTCTCCTCAATTCCTGACATTTTCTAATTGTGTCAAATTTATCCATCAGAGCTTTCCATGGAAGATGAATAATTTGCTGTATGAGACAGTGATTAGTGGTGCCCATATTGTGCTGGAAGTAAAACTTGGTTTCCTGACTTCAGCTGTGATTGGAAATGTGTCTAGAGGCTTGAGGGATGTGTGTGAGACCTCATGTTCTGGGTCACATGAGGACTGTCTTGGAGAAAGTAGGGAGATTCTAATCAAGCATCAGTACAGAGAGTTTCCATTCTTTCAGGCTTCCATTAATTTGGAAGGTTACTTTGCCCCCAGCTGTTCCATGATTCCATGATCTAGGGGAAGGCATCCCTACTCATTACAGGGGAGTTGGACTGGATGATCTTTAAAGGTCCCTTCCAACCTAAACCAGTCTGTGGTTCTATTGACCAGAAATGACTCACAAGAAGCCTCCCTCACCAAATGCTGAGCATCTCCAGGGACATGAATTTCCCTCAACTCCAGAACCTAGGTCAGTTCTCCATCCTGGTTTGACTACTGGCTTTGTGTTGAGTGTTGGCACAAGCACCTCCTGACAGGCAAACCCTCTCTGCTTTGGCCCTTGGGTGAGGAGAGGCGGACACGTGAGAACAAAAACAGTAGAAATGTGTTTCATCTGGTAACTACATTTGAAAGACTGTCTTGTCCCACCCTTGGCTTTGTCCCTCCAGAAACATATTTATTGCTTCTAAAGAGGTTAAGTGTTGGATGGAAAAGGCCTGAAGGAGTACAGCTTCCAAGGGAAAATACTCTGTCTGCATTTTCTGTAAGTCTTTGAATGCTGTTTTGCTTACAAGTTCAATAGTGTGGCATTAATTCTGCCATGTGTCCTTTAAGAGAATTCATTTGGAATTCGTAGAGAATAAGATGACAGGGAAACATCAGCTGAATTGCCCAACAGGCCAATACTTCCCCAGCTGCTCCCAGAGTATACAAGAGGTGCTTATCTGACAACCATCCTTTGCAACAGGTCACAGAGGATGTTGTCCTCCGTCACTGGTGATAGTCCCTCTGCAATTTGGCATTACTGTGTGCTCTCATCTCCAGGAGTTTTGGTGTGTCCCTTCTGCAACCCTGTGAAGTCCTGGGAGAGGTGTCAGCCATGCGGCTCCTGTACCTGCTCTTCCCCTTCTTCCTCCTGTTGGTCCAGGGAGCTGCAGGTGAGAGGGGGAAAAGGGAGATGAGTGTGGTGTTAACCTTTCTGCAGTCACACCTCTCCCTCCCAGATTATTGTTTTAACTCTTTCCCTGTGCATTATTTTCTGTGACAGCTGGAAAAACAGACAAATGCATAAAACGAGGAGGAGTCTGCGTTTTTGGGGGGTGTCGTTTCCCCTATAAATATGTGGGAACTTGTACACTTGTGAGTCACTGCTGCAAACTGTAAGTTCTGGATATAGTTTGCTCCTTTTGGTGGTTAAAGTTAATATTTTCATTCAAGCCCACTCCTACCCCACAGGTTCTTGTGTTCATGCTCAGAGGTAAAAGCCAGGGAAAGAAAGGAAAAGTCCTTGTGGGTTTGGATGTGCCATGAGTGGGGCTGAAGTAGCTCCAGGTCAGGGAGTGCCTCCTCACACGCCTTTACCCCCACAAGGCTGACCCACTGTAAATGCAGAGAGCTCAGCTATGTTGCCCAGAGGAGAAGGTTGTCCCTGGAATAGTGTGAGGAGAAGGATCCTGCTCCTGATATTTGTAAAGAGCCTTTGAGCCAAGGCTGTCACCACTAAGGAGAGCCTAGGGCCAAGCCAACTGGAGTTGACCTCTGTGAGGCTGAGTATTATCTCCATGCACTTGTTGTCAGTTCAGGAGAGGTGGGAGAGAGTGGGAGGAAAAGTTACAATAGCTGACATGCTTCTCTGCTTTCTTCTCACAGTATCTGGGGTTGAGACCCTGAAGTGTCCCAGCAGGATATTCCCCTTGCTTCTGGCTCCTGGAACCATCTCCTGAGGTCCTCTCCCCTCCCTGCCTCTGCCATGCCCAGCTGCTGGCACAGCAGCAGTGGCAGCTGCTCCTGCTGGGTGCTGCTGGGCTGGAGACATCTCATCCCAGCCGTGGGGTCTGTGGGGCAGAGGCTGCTTTTCCCAGCTTGAATAAAGATGAGCAGTTTGGCATTGCAGGGCTGGGCCGTGTGTGCGTGTCCTTGGCATGGAGGCTGTGCTGTGCCTGCTGGCTGTGGGGGTGGCAAAGGTGGCTTGGTGTGAGGAGAAGCAGCTGGGGATGCTGGGGCTGACCAGTGGGTGTGTCCCTGGGGATGCTCCTAAGTGGCAGCAGAGTGAGGTCACTGCACCTGCCAGTGCCTGTTGGTGCAGGGTGTTTGTTGTGGGAGTGATGGAGTTGCTCTGCAGATGCTCCCTCTGGGGAAGCAGGAACCATGTCCTGGTTTTCATAGTCATAGGCTTATTTCCCAGGAACCTACCTCCATGAGGGTAATCACCTCTCTTGTGAAGGGTGCTCAGCCCAGATGGCTGGGACATGCACTTATTGCTGCTGACACAACTGCCCTTGGCAACCAGGGATTGCCACATCAGTGTGGGGGAGCTGGGGCTGTCCCTCATCCCTCTCTGCTGCAGTGGCAGAGGCCGAGGTGCCTCCTGGGGCTGTTGCAATGTCACCCTTTTCCTCCTGCAACACATCCTGTGTCACTCCCTGCACAGCTGGGGTGCCTGGCATGACCTGCTTGGAATTTGCAGCAGCAACCAATCTCAAAGAGTCAATAAGACTTCTCTCCTTGACTCCTTCAAGTTGACAAAATAATGAGGTAACATGGGATGTGAAAGCATAAGAAAGGTTAAAAACCTTCTTACCTTTCAGTGTTATAACAGGGGGTTTCATCTCTGCTTTTATTTGAAGATTCCGCAGAGATTTTGGAAATAGTATATTGGTTACTGTGTGCACTTATGAGTTGATGTTCAGATCCATGCATAGGGCAAGGAGGGTCCATTTAGATTAGATATAAGGAAGAAATTTTTTTGCACCAAGGGTGGTGAAACATTGACACAGGTTGCCCAGAGAGGAGGTGGATGACCCATCCCTGGCAACACGCAAGGTCAGGTTGGATGGGGCTCTGAGCAACCGGGTCTAGTTGAAAATGTCCTTTCTCATTGCTTGTACTAGATGACCTTTAAAGGTCTCTCCCAAGCTAATCTATGATTTTCTGATTCTGTGATCAGCATCTCCAGTTCACTCCTTCCATGGAAGTCATGTCATATCATGGGTAACAAAAATATCATTTATCTATTATCTTTCTCCTTTTCTTGCTGTTTCTCCTCCATCACTATTATATTAAGCTCGTGGATGACTCTCCACAACACCATCAGTCTTGTTGAAGAACAGCAGAACAGCTTTGAGCTGCTGAGATAAATGATATTCATGGTGACTGTTAAATGTTCAATTAAAGGATACATGAATGAAAGTGAAGGGAATTATCCTACAAAGTCAGTGGGAACCTGTTGTGCTGGACCTGGACAACAGGGTGGGATCTTGATGGTGGGTGTGAGGAAAGAGCCCAGCTGATGTGGACACAGGGTTTGATGTCACAGGAGACTGGGCTACTCCAAATCCAGCAGGGACCCTCATCTTCAGGACTTGTGATGCTGAGATGTCCTGGGAGCAGATGAAAGTATCATCCCCATGGCTCTGGGAAGGGCTGCCCAGCCAGCAGGGAAGCAGAAGGTGTGGAAGTGAGGGATGGAGTGCTGAGGGTGATCTGTCTCCTTGGGATGGAAGGGATTGAGTGAAATGGTTGGGATCCCCAGTTGCTGCCATACCCTTGTGTGCAGGGACACACCCGTGGGTGTGACTGCACAGGGCAGGGGTCTGCAGTCACAGGAAGGCCGAGGTCACTGGTTGTTGGGAGAGAATGGTGATGTAATCCTTGTTTGCCTGAGGCAGGCAGAGAGGACAACCCTGGTTTCTCCCTGTTGGAATACATTTCTGGACTTTTCCAGGCCGGGGTCCAAGAGATCCTTTGGAGAGGTCACCTAGTGGAAGACCTGCTTCCCTGCAAAGCATGAAAAGGTTTTCTGTGGGCTGGTTGCAGGATCAGGCTCCTCCAGAGGGGCTGTGGAAGGGAGAGGGGCTGTGGAGTTGGTAGGGGGGTTGTTGCTGTGGGGCTGGAAGCAGGAGGGAGCTGAGTGGGGACTATGCTGGAGCACTGAGCCCCACTGCAGATGGGGGAGGAGGTCCCAGCCCACGGTATACTGGGAACTCTGAGACATCTGGGGTGGATTTGGTGGGCAGTCCTGGCTATACCCACCAAAGGAACACAACACCCAGCACAGCCCTGTGCATAAAGCCCGGGCTGTCAGGGACAAGAGACACCCATAGCCAGCAGGACCAAGAGAGGGCTCCTGCTCCCCCAGATGGGGCATCCCCAGAGCACCTTTATCACAACACCACCAAACACCCTGCACCAACAGGCACTGACAGGCTCTATGTCCCCACTCCACTACCAGGCAGGAGCATCCCCAGGGACACACCCACTGGTCAGCCCCAGCATCCCCAGCTGCTTCTCCTCACACCAAGCCACCTTTGCCACCCCCACAGCCAGCAGGCACAGCACAGCCTCCATGCCAAGGACACGCACACCCGGCCCAGCCCTGCAATGCCAAACTGCTCATCTTTATTCAAGCTGGGAAAAGCAGCCTCTGCCCCACAGACCCCACGGCTTAGGGATAGAATGGCGCCCAGCCCAGCACACCCAAGCATGACAGCTGCCACTGCTGCTGTGCCAGCAGCTGGGCATGGCAGAGGCAGGGAGGGGAAAGGACATCGGGAGATGGTTCCAGGAGCCAGAAGCGAGGGGGACGTCCTGCTGGGACATTTCAGGGTCTCAGCCCCGCACACTGTAAGCAGAAAGCAGAGAAGCACATTATCTCTTGTAACTTTCCCTCCCACTCTCTCCCACCTCGCCTGCAAGGATCATCCAGTCTGTGGTGCAGGAGACTCCGGCTCAGCACACAGGGGCCCAGTCCTTTGTGCAGACAGTTTGGACCTGGGTTATCTCAGTGGTGGCAGCCCTGACTCCCAGTCTGTGCAGATGCAGCAAAACCTGGATCGTGTCCTGCGTGCTGCCCAAGGACAGTAAATGCTTCTCTCTTTGGTGACTGGGTGAGTCCTCTGCAAACCTGAATGAGCCTCCTGGCACTGGAGGAGAGTGTGGAGGTACTGGTTCCTGCAGCTCCCCTTCTGACAAGTCCAAACCTACCAAAACTTTTCCCTTCTTTCTTGGGTCTCTCCCACAGCTCATAAATGAGGATATTCTTTGACAAGCATTGCCATGAAAGAAATTTCTAATGGACCCTTCTAAGGAAATGAGAGGGTCAGGAATGCAGTTCTTACCGTCTGCAGCACAGGGTTAGTGCTGTACATCTCCCAACGGGTCTTGTACCCGGGGGGCATCTCCCAAAAACACAGATTCCCCTTTGTTGTCTGCATAGATGTACACTTCCTGTTTCCATGGGGAAAGGCACACAGAGAACAATTAAAACAACAGTCTGGGAGAGATGCACCTGTTTGCAGAAAGGCTGACACTCCCCATGCATTTCAGGCCAATAGGTGGACCCATCTTCAACCTCTCCACAGGCACATCCTCAAGAACAACATGTCTCACCTAGAAGGACTCTTTCCCCCTAAATTGGTGCACACAAGAGCAGAGAGTGGGAAGGACCAGCATGAGGTCAAGAAAGAGTTTTGCTGGCTGCCCAGCTACATTCCCAACACTGCCTGCACCAGCACAGCTGGAAAGCAGGGGACTCCTCCCATGCCACATGCCTGTCCTGGCTGTGCCATGATTGGTGTGACCTCTGAGGGAAAGTCCTTGCCCAGCCATTGCAGAGATCTTGCCTTGCAGGGTTGAAGCCTGAAGCCAACCTTCTTCCTGACCCACAGTGGAAGCCAGGCTTCTATTTCCAGGGGATCTATCCATTCCAAGTCTGTGTCTTACTGGAAGATCGCTGAAGAAACACTTTTCTCATCAGTGCCCCCTGACATTTGTATCACTCCCACTAATGTTGTAACTTCCAGCGACACAGAAAACCCCAGTGAGAGAGGATCACACTTCCTCCAACTCCCCGCTACCCCTCTCACCTGCAGCACCCTGGACCAGCAGGAGGAGCAAGGGGAAGAGCAGGTACAGGATCTTCATGGCTGATCCACCACTCCCACGTCTTCACAGGGCTGCAGAGGGCACACCAAGGCAATGAGGACATGGAGAAGCCCAGGGGGTGCAGAAGCCTGGGCACTGGGGTTCCCCAAACTGCAGAGGGGCTGCCTCCAAAAACAGCACATGATCTTTCCTCTACCTTTCTCTTAAGAACAATTTTTATGTTAGTGCCACCTTGTAAACATTGGGATCTTTTCATGGGGTCTCAGTCTCTGGGAAATCCATTATCTGAGCTGATCCTCTTCCATTAGTTTTCTCAGTGGTCTTCCAAACACCTTCCCAACAGCACAGATTGCAGACATGAGGCCAGTTGTTCCAGTTCAAAGCAAAGAACAGCCAGTGAAATATGGGAAATGCAGAGATAAAATTGTCATTGAAAATTACGGATCTAAATGTCTTTTACGGCCTTGGGTTTCATGGATCAAACCCATGCCCCAAACACCTCAAGTGGTCATCTCTGCTTCCCTGGGCTCAGGAAAGTCCTCCCAGCTTGGCTTGGCAGTGCCCATCCCCATCTTCAGACCATTCCCAGGCATCCCATCAAGGACACTCCCCAGCCTCACACTTTCCACCCCTGCCCCATGCAGCCCCGATCCAGGGATGAGCCAAAGGGCAAGGAAGTGTCTTGGTGCCCAGCAATGGAAACAGAAATCAACCTTTGGAGTTACTGAAAGCCTGAAATGATGGGAAATCTCCCTCCTGCTGTGGGAAAAAAATCTCCCTACATTGCTATGGAAAGTCTCTATTTGCACAAGAAAAAAATCTCAGGTCCCTCTGGCAACATCAAGACATCTTTCCAGTCTTTCCTCTACTTAGGAAAGCTAAGTTTCACCTCCCTTGTGTTCTCAGCTCTTCGACTCTTATGAAGGCTTTTATGCTCTTTCCCAGACATCTCTGGATACTTCCAGCTGTTTGTCCTTTGGGTGAGTCTGTGCAGATGGGCTTTGAGCTGAGAACCTGAATGGACAGCTTTCCAGAAAGAGACCCCACAGTCACCTACCTGATGAGGATCTTGGTGTTCAGGCAGCAACAAATCCAACAGGAATCACTTGGCTCCAGATGCCCTTGGGGTCAGGGAATGCTGCTTTGCCTAAAACAGCCTGGTTTTATACCCCTCGTGGTGGGTGGGACATGCCCTTATTGCTGCTGACATAACTGCCCTTGGCCAACCAGGCAGTGCCCCATCAGTGTGGGGGTGCTGGGGCTGCCCCTCATCCCTCCCTGCTGCAGTGGCAGAGGCTGAGGGGCCTCCTGGGGCTGTTGCAATGTCATCCTTATCCTCCTGCAACACATCCTGTGACACAAGGGCTGGGCAGGAGCCCCTGAGATTGGGGAACAGCTTTGCTCTGAAGAGGTGAAGGGTGCTCGTGGTGACTGCTCAGGGTCAGTGTCAGGAGAGGAGAGGACAGAGGCAGGAAGGTTCACAGCAGGCAGGGATGACCTGAAAGTCCCTCAGTAAACTCTCCATTTCTGGAAAGCAAGGGGAGAGATTGGACCCAGTGATTATAGAGGGCTTTTCCAACATTTCTTATTCTATGAATTGATGATTCTTCAAAGGGAAAGCCTTTACTGAAGTAACCAAGTCACCAGTTGCTCCCATATGCACATGGACATGGACACAAACATGTATTGATTCCACTCAGGGAATCTAAAGCCTCAGGTTTGCTTTTGCTGACAGAGAGAGGCCACTGCCTTCGATGGCATGTGGCATGTGGCACTGCCATGCCAGACTGGCTGCAGTTGGGCAGAGAGGAGAGCACAATCTGTTTATGGCCCGTGGCTTAAACAAATTTGAACATTTCCAGGCCAGGGTCAGTTGGAGACATCCCACAGGTCACCCAGTCAAGGAGGTCGATGCCTTCCTCATCCTCCTGCCTGGTGGGACAGGGTGTGGAGCAGCACAGCTCCTGCACTGCCCACAGGAAGGAGGGCTGAGCACAGTGGAACAGGACAAAGAGCAGCATCAGGGACAGGTTGTGTGGGCACCCATGGCCATGCCCACCCAAGGGACACACCACCAAGCACAGCTCTGCACACAAGGCTGTGGTTGTCAGGGACAAGGGACACCTGTGACTGGCAGGACCAGGACACAGGTCTCACTTCGGAGTGGGAGCATCTGCAGAGCAATTACATCACTCCCACAACAAACATCCTGCACCAACAGGCACTGACAGGCTCTATGTCCCCACTCCACTGCCAGGCAGGAACATCCCCAGGGACACACCCACTGGTCAGCCCCAGCATCCCCAGCTGCTTCTCCTCACACCAAGCCACCTTTGCCACCCCCACAGCCAGCAGGCACAGCACAGCCTCCATGCCAAGGACACGCACACACGGCCCAGCCCTGCAATGCCAAACTGCTCATCTTTATTCAAGCTGGGAAAAGCAGCCTCTGCCCCACAGACCCCACGGCTGGGATGAGATGTCTCCAGCCCAGCAGCACCCAGCAGGAGCAGCTGCCACTGCTGCTGTGCCAGCAGCTGGGCATGGCAGAGGCAGGGAGGGGAGAGGACATCGGGAGATGGTTCCAGGAGCCAGAAGCAAGGGGGACGTCCTGCTGGGACATTTCAGGGTCTCAACCCCAGATTCTGTACAAAGAAAGCAGAGAAGCACGTCAGCTATTGTAACTTTCCCTCCCACTCTCTCCCACCTCGCCTGCAAGGACCATCCAGTCTGTGGTGCAGGAGACTCAGGCTCAGCACAGGTGAGGCCCAGTCCTTCATGCAGACAGTTTCAATCGGGGTTATCTCAGTGGTGACAGCTCTGATTCCAAGTCTGTGCAGATGCAGCAAAACCTGGATCATGTCCTGGGTGCTGCCCAAGGACAGCAAATGCTTCACTCTTTAGCGGTTTTGGTGAGTCCTCTGCCAAGCCTGAATGAGCCTCCTGGCACTGGAGGTGAGTTGGGAGGCACTGGCTGACCTGGGGCTCCTGCAGCCCCACTCTGGTCTGGTCCAAACCCACAAAGGCTTTTGTTTTCATTCTTGGGCCTCTCCCACAGACCATAAATGCAGGAGATTATTTATCAAGCATTAGCTAGAAAGAAATTTCTAACAGATCTTTCTGTGGAAAAAGGAGGAAAATCTTTTTTCAGCCAGGCTTCTTGTCCTTACCGTTTGCAGCACAAAATGACTCTTGAGCAGAATCCAATTGTTGTTGTAGGGTAGCGACAACGACCAAAAGCGCAGAATCCCCCTTGCCGTTTGCATTTATCTGCATCTCCTGTTTCCATGGGCAAAGACACACAGAGAACAATTACAGTGACAATCTGGGAGAGCTGTGTGTTGTGCAGGACAGCTGAAACTTCCCGTGAATTTCAGGCCAACAGATGGGCTCAGCTCAGAACTCCCCACAGACACATCTTCCATTGCAAGGAGGACTTTTCCCCCCTATACTGGGTGCACACAAGAGCAGAGAGTGGGAAGGACCAGCATGAGGTCAAGGAAGAGCCTTGCTGGCTGCCCAGCTGCATTGCCAACACTGCCTGCCCCAGCACAGCTGGAAAGCATGGGGCTCCTCCCATCCCACATGCCTGTCCTGGCTGTGCCATGATTGGTGTGACCTCTGAGGGAAAGTCCTTGCCCAGCCCTTGCAGGGATCATGCCTTGGGGTAATGAGATGGATGCATCACAAGATGAGAAGGGACATCTTTCAGGCACTTAAAGAGGAACATCTGGGTGCAGAGTTGGAGCCTGAAACCAACCCCCTTCCTGACCATGAGGACAAGCCAGGCTTCTATTTACAGGGGCTCCACCCGCCCCACATCTGTATCTGTTGGAAGTTCACTTGAAAAACTCCATTTTCCTCAATCCCCCCCAGCATTTGCATCCTTCTAAGTAATGTGGTCAATTCCAAGGCCATGGAAAACTCCAGTTATGGGGGCTCAGACCTCCCCCTAAATCCCCTCTTTCCCTCTCACCTGCAGCACCCTGGACCAGCAGGAGGAGCAAGGGGAAGAGCAGGTACAGGATCTTCATGGCTGATCCACCACTCCCACGTCTTCACAGGGCTGCAGAGGGCACACCAAGGCAATGAGGACATGAAGGACCCCAGGGGGTGCAGAAGCCTGGGCACTGGGGTTCCCCAAAATGCAGAGGGGCTGCCTCCAAACACAGCACATGATCTTTCCTCTACCTTTCTCTTAAGAACAATTCTGAGGTCTGTGCCACCTTGCAAACCTTGGGAGTGTTTCCTCATGTCTCAGTCTCTGGGAAGTCCATTACCTAAGATGATCCTTTTCCAAGAACTTTGTCTAAGGTCTTCCATAGGCTTTCCCCAGAGAACAGACTGCACACCTGACCCCAATTCTTGCCCATTCAATCCAAAGAAAGTTTCTATTTGCCCACAAAGAAGCTCTCAGGTCCCTCCTGCAGTATCCAGGCACCTTTCCAGGCTCTCCTCTACTTAGGAAAGCTCCGTTTCATGTACCACATCTTCTCAGCTCTTAGACTCATAAAAGGGTTTTATTCTCTTTCCCAGACATCTCTGATGGCCTAAGAGCACATCTGGATACTTGCAGCTGTTTGTCCTTTAGGTGAATCTGTGGAGATGGGCTCTGAGCTGAGAATCTGAATGGACAGTTTTCCAGAAAGAGACCCCACAGTCACCTACCTGATGAAGGTCTTGGTGTTCAGGCAGCAGCAAATCCAACAGGAATCACTTGGCTCCAGATGCCCTTGGGGTCAGGGAATGCTGCTTTGCCCAAAACAGCCTGGTTTTATACCCCTCCTGGTGGGTGGGACATGCCCTTATTGCTGCTGACACAACTGTCCTTGGCCAACCAGGCAGTGCCCCATCAGTGTGGGGGTACTGGGGCTGCCCCTCATCCCACCCTGCTGCAGTGGCAGAGGCTGAGGGGCCTCCTGGGGCAGTTGCAATGTCATCCTTATCCTTCTGCAACACATCCTGTGACACAAGGGCTGGGCAGGAGCCCCTGGGATTGGGGAATAGCTTTGCTCTGCAGAGGTGAAGGGTGCTCGTGGTGACTGCTCAGGGTCAGTGTCAGGAGAGGAGAGCACAGGGTCAGGAAGGTTCACAGCAGGCAGAGATGACCTGAAAGTCCCTCAGGAAACTCTCCATTTCTGGAAAGCAAGGGGAGAGATTGGACCCAGTGATTATAGAGGGCTTTTCCAACATTTCTTATTCTATGAATCGATGATTCTTGAAAGGGAAAGCCTTTACTGAAGTAACCAAGTCACCAGTTGCTCCCATATGCACATGGACATGGATACAAACATATATTGATTCCACTCAGGGAATCTAAAGCCTCAGGTTTGCTTTTGCTGACAGAGAGAGGCCACTGCCTTCTATGGCATGTGGCATGTGGCACTGCCATGCCAGACTGGCTGCAGTTGGGCAGAGAGGAGAGCACAATCTGTTTATGGCCTGTGGCTAAACAAATTTGAACATTTCCAGGCCAGGGTCAGTTGGAGACATCCCACAGGTCACCCAGTCAAGGAGGTCGACGCCTTCCTCATCCTCCTGCCTGGTGGGACAGGGTGTGGAGCAGCACAGCTCCTGCACTGCCCACAGGAAGGAGGGCTGAGCACAGTGGAACAGGACAAAGAGCAGCATCAGGGACAGGTTGTGTGGGCACCCATGGCCATGCCCACCCAAGGGACACACCACCAAGCACAGCTCTGCACACAAGGCTGTGGTTGTCAGGGACAAGGGACACCTGTGACTGGCAGGACCAGGACACAGGTCCCAGTTAGGAGTGGGAGCATCTGCAGAGCAACTCTATCACTCCCACAACAAACATCCTGCACCAACAGGCACTGACAGGCTCTATGTCCCCACTCCACTGCCAGGCACGAGCATCCCCAGGGACACACCCACTGGTCAGCCCCAGCATCCCCAGCTGCTTCTCCTCACACCAAGCCACCTTTGCCACCCCCACAGCCAGCAGGCACAGCACAGCCTCCATGCCAAGGACACGCACACACGACCCAGCCCTGCAATGCCAAACTGTTCATCTTTATTCAAGCTGGGAAAAGCAGCCTCTGCCCCACAGACCCCACGGCTGGGATGAGATGTCTCCAGCCCAGCAGCACCCAGCAGGAGCAGCTGCCACTGCTGCTGTGCCAGCAGCTGGGCATGGCAGAGGCAGGGAGGGGAGAGGACCTCAGGAGATGGTTCCAGGAGCCAGAAGCGAGGGGGACGTCCTGCTGGGACATTTCAGGGTCTCAACCCCGCACACTGTAAGAAGACAGCAGACAAGCACATTCTCTTTTGTAACTTTTCCTCCCACTCTCTCCCACCTCGCCTGCAAGGACCATCCAGTCTGTGGTGCAGGAGACTCAGGCTCAGTGAAGGTCCATTGTGCAGACAGTTTGGACCTGGGTTATCTTAGTGGTGACAGCCCTGACTCCCAGTCTGTGCAGATGCAGCAAAACCTGGATCATGTTCTCAGTCTGTGCAGGAGCACATGCAGTGCAGGGAACTGAGGGTGCAGCTATAAATTGAGCTCTGGCTTGTGGGAGCCACAGGCAAGAGGCCATGAACTGCCCATCTTTTGCTTAACAAAGGGCCCAGGCACCTCTGGCACAGGCAGGTGTCAGGACACTCAGTGACATGGTAGGAGCAATTGACCCCAGAATCTGACTCACTTAGACTCTGATGGTGTAAAACACAGTATTTCCTTTGTTGGGTTCACAGCTTCAGAGGCACCAGCTTGAGCTGTTCCTCCGTTGTTACACCCTGATTAAATTATTGCAAGGAGGATGCAGACATCTGAGACTTTGCTCTGGGAAACCTGAGATTGAGCTGGGAATGAATCTTGTCTGCCTGTGTGGCTGTGGGGTGTGCAGGGAGTCAAGCTGGGCATCCGTGGGCTCACTGGGGCCACTCACTGCAAAGGGGCTTCAGTCCCAGCTCAGTGGTGTGAGTGTGGCTGCCAGAGTTGGCTCCTGGAGGGTTGGAAAGGATGTTTCCATTAACAGATGCTGCCCAAGGACAGTAAATGCTTCACTCTTTGGTGCCTTGGGTGAGTCCTCTGCAAAGCCTGAAGGACCCTCCTAGCACTGCAGGACAGTGGGGAGGTGCTGCCTGTCCTGGGGCTCCTGCAGCCCCTCTCAGGGCAGGGCCAAACCCACCAGGGCTTTTGCCTTCATTCTTGGGCATCTGTCACAAATCATAAAGGCAGGAGAGTATTTATGAGGCATTGGCGAGAAAGAAAGCTTTAACAGTTGTTCCTATGGACAAAGAAGGAAATTTTCCTCACCCAGGAATCCAGACCTTACCGTTCACAGCAAATGGTGAATGCTGAACAGTGTCCAATAAATCTTGTACCGGACTTGCACTTCCAAAACGTGCAGTATCCCCCTAGGAGCTGGCATGCATTTTTAATTCCTGTTTCCGTGGGGAAAGACACACACAGAACAATTAAAGCAACAGTCTGGGAGAGCTGTGTAGGTTTGCAGAAAGGCCGACACTCCCCGTGAATCTCAGACCAGTAGATGGGCTCAGCTCAAAACTCCCCACAGGCACATCTTCAAGAGCAACACGTCTCACCTAGAAGGACTCTTTCCCCCTAAATTTTGCACACAAAAGCAGAGAGTGGGAAGGACCAGCATGAGGTCGAGGAAGAGCCTTGCTGGCTGCCCAGCTGCATTGCCAACACTGCCTGCCCCAGCACAGCTGGAAAGCAGGGAACTCCTCCCATGCCACATGCCTGTCCTGGCTGTGCCATGATTGGTGTGACCTCTGAGGGAAAGTCCTTGCCCAGCCCTTGTAGGGATCATGCCTTGGAGTAATGAGGTTTTGGGACACATGGTTGAGATGCAGCACTAGATGAGAAGGGACAGCTTTGTGCCTCAGGGAACCAACCAATCCAAACAGTCCTGGGTCTCTCTCCCATCCCTGTACAGGGTAAGAAACATTGAAAAAGGAACATCTGGGTGCAGAGTTGAAGCCTGAAATCAGCTGTGTCCTGAGGCACAGGAGAAGCCAGGCTTCTACCTTCCAGGATTCTCTCCATCCCAAATCTGTGTGCTATTGGATGGTTACTCGAATAACATGTCAAGCCCTGCTAACCTTTGCATCCCTCCAACTAACATGGTCACTTGGTGGGACATGGAAAGCCACAATGATGGAGGATCACGTTTCCCCACCTCTCCTCTTCCCGTCTCACCTTCAACATTCTGCACCAACAGGAGGAGCAAGGGGAAGAGCAGGTACAGGATCTTCATGGCTGATCCACCTCTCCTGGCTCTTTACAGGGCTGCAGAGGGGACACCAAGGCAGTGAGGATGATCCTTTCCCAAAGATTTTTCCTAAGATCTTCCATAGACTTTCCCTATAGAACTAAAGATCTTTTACTCCCTTAGGCTTCCTGGATCAAACCCATGCCCTAAACACTCTGCCCAGTCACTTCTTCTTCCCTGCGATCAGGAAAGTCCTCCCAGCTCGCCGTGCCCATCCCCAACTCCAGAGCAGTCCCAGGATTCCCATCAAAGACACTCCCCAGCCCCACACTTGCCACCCCTGCCTCATGCAGCCCCGATCCAGAGATGAACCAGAGGACAGGAAAGTGTCTTGGTGCCCAGAAATGGAAGCAGAAATCAACCTTTGGAGTTCCTGAAAGCCTGAAATGATGGGAAAGCACTTTACTGCAGTGGGAAAAGTGTTTCCTTACTTTGCCAAGCAAAGTCCTACTTCCCCAAGAAAGAAGCTCTGAGCTCCCTCCGGCAGCATCAAGGCGCATTTCCAGTCTCTCCTCTACTTAGAAAAGCTTAGTTTCACCTTCCACATATTCTGGGCTCTTAGACTCATATGAAGGCTTTTATTCTTTTTCCCAGACAACTCTGATGACCTAATAATACACCTGGATACTTCCAGCTGTTTGTCCTTTAGATGAGTCTGTGCAGATGGGCTTTGAGCTGAGAATCTGAATGGGGAGGTTTCAGAATGAGACCCCACAGTCACCTACCTGATGAGGATCTTGGTGTTCAGACAGCAGCAAATTGAGCAGCAATCACTTGAATCCAGACACTGCTGGGATCAGGGAATGCTGCTTTGCCTAAAAGAGCCTGTTTTTATACCCCTCCTGGTGGGTGGGACATGCCCTTATTGCTGTTGACACAACTGCCCTTGGCCAACCAGGCAGTGCCCCACCAGTGTGGGGGTGCTGGGGTTGCTCAGGGTCAGTGTCAGGACAGGAGAGCACAGGGAGAGGAATGGCCATGGCAGAAAGGGCTGATCTGAAAGTCCCTCACTAAACTCTCCATTTCTGGAAAGAAATGGCAGTGGAATCTTTTTTGAGATCAGTCCCTTCTCCCAGGGAACAAGTGACAGGAGCAGAGAAAATGGCCTCAGTTACACCCGGGAGGTTTAGTTCAGGCACTAGGAACAATTTCTTCACCAAAAGTGTGGTCAGGAACTGGCACAGCTGTCCAGGGTATAGTGGAGTCCCCATCCCTGGGGGGATTCAAAACCACGTAGATATGGAACTGGGGACATGGTTTAGTCATACTGTGCTTGTCAGGGACAAAGGACACCTGTGACTGGCAGGACCAGGACAAAGGTCTCACTTCTCAAAGGGAGCATCTGCAGGGCAGCTCCATCACTCCCACAACAAACACCCTGCACCAACAGGCACTGACAAGCTCTATGTCCCCACTCCACTGCCAGGCAGGAACATCCCCAGGGACACACCCACTGGTCAGCCCCAGCATCCCCAGCTGCTTCTCCTCACACCAAGCCACCTTTGCCACCCCCACAGCCAGCAGGCACAGCACAGCCTCCATGCCAAGGACATGCACACACGACCCAGCCCTGCAATGCCAAACTGCTCATCTTTATTCAAGCTGGGAAAAGCAGTCTCTGCCCCACAGACCCCACGGCTGGGATGAGATGTCTCCAGCCCAGCAGCACCCAACAGGAGCAGCTGCCACTGCTGCTGTGCCAGCAGCTGGGCATGGCAGAGGCAGGGAGGGGAAAGGACATCGGGAGATGGTTCCAGGAGCCAGAAGCGAGGGGGACGTCCTGCTTGGACATTTCAGGGTCTCAACCCAACATGCTGTACAAAGAAAGCAGAGAAGCACATCAGCTCTTGTAACTTTCCCTCCCACTCTCTCCCACCTCCCCCGCAAGAACCATCCAGTCTGTGGTGCAGGAGACTCAGGCTCAGCACAGGTGAGGCCCAGTCCTTCATGCAGACAGTTTCAATCGGGGTTATCTCAGTGGTGACAGCCCTGATTCCAAGTCTGTGCAGATGCAGCAAAACCTGGATCATGTCCTGGGTGCTGCCCAAGGACAGCAAATGCTTCACTCTTTAGCGGTTTTGGTGAGTCCTCTGCCAAGCCTGAATGAGCCTCCTGGCACTGGAGGTGAGTTGGGAGGCACTGCCTGACCTGGGGCTCCTGCAGCCCCACTCTGGTCTGGTCCAAACCCACGAGGGCTTTTGCCTTCATTCTAGGGCCTCTCCCACAGACCATAAATGCAGGGGATTATTTATCAAGCATTAGCTAGAAAGAAATTTCTAACAGATCTTTCTGTGGAAAAAGGAGGAAAATCTTTTTTCAGCCAGGGTTCTTGTCCTTACCGTTTGCAGCAGAATTTGTCTTTTGCGCAGAATCCAATTGGTATTGTAGGGGGACGGCAACCACCAAAAGTGCAGATTCCCCCTTGCCGTCTGCATTTAACTGGATCTCCTATTTCTATGGGCAAAGACACACAGAGAACAATTACAGTGACAATCTGGGAGAGCTGTGTGTTGTGCAGGACAGCTGAAACTTCCCGTGAATTTCAGGCCAACAGATGGGCTCAGCTCAAAACTCCCTACAGACACATCTTCCATTGCAAGGAGGACTTTTCCCCCCTATACTGGGTGCACACAAGAGCAGAGAGTGGGAAGGACCAGCATGAGGTCAAGGAAGAGCCTTGCTGGCTGCCCAGCTGCATTGCCAACACTGCCTGCCCCAGAACAGCTGGAAAGCAGGGGACTCCTCCCATCCCACATGCCTGTCCTGGCTGTGCCATGATTGGTGTGACCTCTGAGGGAAAGTCCTTGCCCAGCCCTTACAGGGATCATGCCTTGGGGTAATGAGATGGATGCATCACAAGATGAGAAGGGACATCTTTCAGGCACTTAAAGAGGAACATCTGGGTGCAGAGTTGGAGCCTGAAACCAACCCCCTTCCTGACCATGAGGACAAGCCAGGCTTCTATTTACAGGGGCTCTACCCGCCCCACATCTGTATCTGTTGGAAGTTCACTTGAAAAACTCCATTTTCCTCAATCCCCCCCAACATTTGCATCCTTCTAAGTAATGTGGTCAATTCCAAGGCCATGGAAAACTCCAGTTATGGGGGCTCAGACCTCCCCCTAAATCCCCTCTTTCCCTCTCACCTGCAGCACCCTGGACCAGCAGGAGGAGCAAGGGGAAGAGCAGGTACAGGATCTTCATGGCTGATCCACCACTCCCACGTCTTCACAGGGCTGCAGAGGGCACACCAAGGCAATGAGGACATGAAGGACCCCAGGGGGTGCAAAGCCTGGGCCCTGGGGTTCCCCAAACTGCAGAGGGGCTGCCTCCAAACACAGCACATGATCTTTCCTCTACCTTTCTCTTAAGAACAATTCTGAGGTCTGTGCCACCTTGCAAACCTTGGGAGTGTTTCCTCATGTCTTAGTCTCTGGGAAATCCATTACCTAAGATGATCCTTTTCCAAGAACTTTGTCTAAGGTCTTCCATAGGCTTTCCCCAGAGAACAGACTGCACACCTGACCCCAATTCTTGCCCATTCAATCCAAAGAAAGTTTCTATTTGCCCACAAAGAAGCTCTCAGGTCCCTCCTGCAGTATCCAGGCACCTTTCCAGGCTCTCCTCTACTTAGGAAAGCTCCGTTTCATGTACCACATCTTCTCAGCTCTTAGACTCATAAAAGGGTTTTATTCTCTTTCCCAGACATCTCTGATGGCCTAAGAGCACATCTGGATACTTGCAGCTGTTTGTCCTTTAGGTGAATCTGTGGAGATGGGCTCTGAGCTGAGAATCTGAATGGACAGTTTTCCAGAAAGAGACCCCACAGTCACCTACCTGATGAAGGTCTTGGTGTTCAGGCAGCAGCAAATCCAACAGGAATCACTTGGCTCCAGATGCCCTTGGGGTCAGGGAATGCTGCTTTGCCCAAACCAGCCTGGTTTTATACCCCTCCTGGTGGGTGGGACATGCATTTATTGCTGCTGACACAACTGCCCTTGGCCAACCAGGCAGTGCCCCATCAGTGTGGGGGTACTGGGGCTGCCCCTCATCCCACCCTGCTGCAGTGGCAGAGGCTGAGGGGCCTCCTGGGGCAGTTGCAATGTCATCCTTATCCTTCTGCAACACATCCTGTGACACAAGGGCTGGGCAGGAGCCCCTGGGATTGGGGAATAGCTTTGCTCTGCAGAGGTGAAGGGTGCTCGTGGTGACTGCTCAGGGTCAGTGTCAGGAGAGGAGAGCACACAGGGTCAGGAAGGTTCACAGCAGGCAGAGATGACCTGAAAGTCCCTCAGGAAACTCTCCATTTCTGGAAAGCAAGGGGAGAGATTGGACCCAGTGATTATAGAGGGCTTTTCCAACATTTCTTATTCTATGAATTGATGATTCTTGAAAGGGAAAGCCTTTACTGAAGTAGCCAAGTCACCAGTTGCTCCCATATGCACATGGACATGGACACAAACATGTATTGATTCCACTCAGGGAATCTAAAGCCTCAGGTTTGCTTTTGCTGACAGAGAGAGGCCACTGCCTTCTATGGCATGTGGCATGTGGCACTGCCATGCCAGACTGGCTGCAGTTGGGCAGAGAGGAGAGCACAATCTGTTTATGGCCTGTGGCTAAACAAATTTGAACATTTCCAGGCCAGGGTCAGTTGGAGACATCCCACAGGTCACCCAGTCAAGGAGGTCGACGCCTTCCTCATCCTCCTGCCTGGTGGGACAGGGTGTGGAGCAGCACAGCTCCTGCACTGCCCACAGGAAGGAGGGCTGAGCACAGTGGAACAGGACAAAGAGCAGCATCAGGGACAGGTTGTGTGGGCACCCATGGCCATGCCCACCCAAGGGACACACCACCAAGCACAGCTCTGCACACAAGGCTGTGGTTGTCAGGGACAAGGGACACCTGTGACTGGCAGGACCAGGACACAGGTCCCACTTCCCAGGGGGAGCATCTGCAGAGCAACTCTATCACTCCCACAACAAACACCCTGGATCAAAAGGGGCTGACAGGCTCTATGTCCCCACTCCACTGCCAGGCAGGAGCATCCCCAGGGACACACCCACTGGTCAGCCCCAGCATCCCCAGCTGCTTCTCCTCACACCAAGCCACCTTTGCCACCCCCACAGCCAGCAGGCACAGCACAGCCTCCATGCCAAGGACACGCACACACGGCCCAGCCCTGCAATGCCAAACTGCTCATCTTTATTCAAGCTGGGAAAAGCAGCCTCTGCCCCACAGACCCCACGGCTGGGATGAGATGTCTCCAGCCCAGCAGCACCCAGCAGGAGCAGCTGCCACTGCTGCTGTGCCAGCAGCTGGGCATGGCAGAGGCAGGGAGGGGAAAGGACATCGGGAGATGGTTCCAGGAGCCAGAAGCGAGGGGGACGTCCTGCTGGGACATTTCAGGGTCTCAACCCCAGATTCTGTACAAAGAAAGCAGAGAAGCACGTCAGCTATTGTAACTTTCCCTCCCACTCTCTCCCACCTCGCCTGCAAGGACCATCCAGTCTGTGGTGCAGGAGACTCAGGCTCAGCACAGGTGAGGCCCAGTCCTTCATGCAGACAGTTTCGATCAGGGTTATCTTAGTGGTGACAGCCCTGATTCCAAGTCTGTGCAGATACAGCAAAACCTGGATCATGTCCTGGGTGCTGCCCAAGGACAGCAAATGCTTCACTCTTTAGCGGTTTTGGTGAGTCCTCTGCAAAGCCTGAATGAGCCTCCTGGCACTGGATGAGAGTTGGGAGGCACTGGCTGACCTGGGGTTCCTGCAGCCCCACTCTGGTCTGGTCCAAACCCACGAGGGCTTTTGCCTTCATTCTTGGGCCTCTCCCACAGACCATAAATGCAGGAGATTATTTCACAGGCATTGACACAAACCAAATTTGTAACAGATTTTTCTGGACAAAGGAGGAAACTCTTCTCTCTGCCAGGAACCCAGACCTTATCTTTTGCAGCACACACTATACAGGGAACATCTTCCAACAGGTCTCGCAGGGAAGTTGCATCTTCCGTAAGTGCAGTATCCCCCTCGCCGTCTGCATCCAGCTGCATTTCGGGTTTCCATGGGGAAAGATACACATAGAACAATTAAAGCAATAATCTGAGAGAGCTGTGTTTGGTCACAAAAGGCTGATATTCCCTGTGCATTTCAGGCCAACAGATGGGCTCAGCTCCAACCTCTCCACAGCAAAGATCAACCACAGTGCAAAAGATCATCCAGAAACACCAAAACAGGAACAGCTGGGTGCAAGGTTGGAGCATTAAACACAAGCCCCTTCCTGACCCACAGTAGAAGCCAGGTTTCTATTTCCAGGGGCTCCCTCCAACCCCTGTCTGTGTTCACTTAGACAATCACTGGAGACCCACCATTCTCCTCAATCTCCCCTACCCTTCACGTCACTCCAACTGAGGTAATCACTTCCTGGGACATGGAAAATCCCAATGATGAAGGTTTATACCTCCTCCTATCTCCCCATTTGCCCTCTCACCTGAAGCACCCTGGACCAGCAGGAGGAGCAAGGGGAAGAGCAGGTACAGGATCTTCATGGCTGATCCACCTCTCCCACGTCTTCAGAGGGCTGCAGAGGGCACATCAAGGCAATAAGGACATGGAGGACCCCAGGGGGTGCAGAAGCCTGGGCACTGGGGTTCCCCAAACTGCAGAGGGGCTGCCTCCAAAAACAGCACATGATCTTTCCTCTACCTTTCTCTTAAGAACCATTCTGAGGTCTGTGCCACCTTGCAAACCTTGGAAGTGTTTCCTCATGTCTCAGTCTCTGGGAAATCCATTACCTAAACTGATCCTTTTCCAGGAAACCCCACAGTTACCTACCTGATGAAGGTCTTGGTGTCCAGGCAACAACAAACCCAAGAGGAATCACTTGAGTCTAGATGCCCTTGGGTCCAAGGAATATGTTTTTTGGCCAAAATGCTCTGATTTTATATCATCGCAGATTACAGGAACATTCCCTTATTCTTGCTGACACATCTCCCCTGGGCCAATCAGAAAGCCACCATCTGTGTGGGGGTGCTAGGGCTTCCCCTTCTCCCTCCCTGCTGCAGTGGCAGAGGCTGAGGTGTCTCCTGGGGCTGTTGCAATGTCACCCTTATCCTTCTGCAACATGTCCTGTGATACCCCCTGCACAGCAGCACACGGGCTGGGGGGGCCTGGCATGACCTGCCAGGCATGGGCAGAGCAGGCTGGTTGATGCAGATTCCAGTAGAAATCAGTCCCAATCATTCTTTACTGTGTGAGGCCCTGGCACAGGTTGCCCAGAGAAGCTGTGGCTGCCCCATCCCTGGAAGTGTTCAAGGCCAGGTTGGTCAGGGCTTGGAGAGACCTGGGATAGTGGAAGGTGTCCCTGTCCTTGGCAGAGTGTGGGATGAGATGATCTTTAAGGTCCCTTCCTCCCCAAATCATCCCGTGATTCTGTGATAAAAAGATAAAATATTTGTCTCTTCCTTTCCTGTCATTTTACTCAGTGAGCTGGTGCTGTGTGACGTGCAGAAACATGCAAAATATTTTGGTTTTCTTCTCTTTTAACAGCTTCATCCTTGCCAAGGTGAATTGTGTTTGATACGCTGGGAAGTGTCAAGCTCAAGGTTGTCTTTCTCATGCATACTCAGATCAACAGCAATGGGCAAAAGAAAAGCAATCAGATGTCAATCACCCTGTCTGAATGCACTGCTCCTAAAACTGCCATTCTTGGTATAAAAACTGCAAATGTGATTCAGTAGAAGTAAAACTCCTGTTTAAGGAGTGTAAAGGTGTGCAAACTAAGGGAGATTAGTGAAGGAAAGTGAATAGGGCCTTAGTAGGCCTTGGAGATGTGGAATTGATTAAGAGAGTTTGTGGATTTATAGGAAATCTACGATGTTTCAGAAAGGTAAAGATCAAGGTGGATCGTGAAAAAACAGCCGATGGGATAGAAAGAAGCAAGACATCCCTTGTGGCATGTCATGTGGCCCAGCTCAAGTAAGCATGGCCATGCCTGACATCTGATCACCATAATCTGTCCTGTATTGCAAGTAAACTTTAATTCTAACCATTTTATGTACAAACAGTCTGTCTCTGGCATGTCTCCATGGCTGTGCAGTCCTCTAGCAAGCTTCAAAACAGAGCACTGGGTATGGGAGAGAACACCAGGAGTGTTGGTCCATTGCCCAGAGATACCAAAGTTCTGGGAGTTGAATCCTGGAGAAAACAAAGGGGCTTGAGGTTGGATGCATGAGGGGCACAGGGTTTAGTGCCATCTATCAGAGACATGCATAGAATCATGGAATAGTTTGGGTTGGAAGGGACCTTTAAGATCATCTCATTCCAACACCCTGCCATGGTCAGGGACACCTTCCACCAGACCAGGTTGCTCAAAGCTTGTTCAACCCAGCCTTGATGCACGATGGGGATATTCCCTGAGCATCAATCCACAGAAGTAGGATTGGGCATCCATTGTTAAGTCTTGGTGGATGTAAAAGTCCTGGGAAGTTTGGTACCAGGCTCAGGATCACTCCAGGACCAGCAGAGCCAAGGACCCTCTATGGTGTGGAAAGGTCTTCTTGTCCACCCTGCAGGGAGGCCGTGGCTGGGGATCTTGTGCTGGACCCCACCAGAGAGGCAGCTCGGCCCTGCTGATCCAGACCTGGATGTGTACCCACAGTTGACATCCCGGCCTGGCTTTGGCCCATCCCCATGGAGATGCCCAAAGCCCCAGGCAGAGGCTGCTCCCACCCCCTGTCTGCCCTGTTCCCTGGTGGGGGGCAGTGGGATGCCCCCTGCCCTCACAGCCGCCGTGGTGACTGACCCATGGCAGTGTAGGGGCCACTCCCATGGCATCCCTGAGCTGAGCATCATGGATCTACTCCAAGGATCATCCACAAGGCTGACCCACCTGGGCTCCTAACTGAGCCTCCCAAGCCTA